GAGATACAACGTCAAGAGACTAAAGCTTATGCACATTGCTCTAGTCTTCTGTGTTTGAGCACAGCTGTGTCTGAGACAGTTTCAGTCCATGCAGGTCCTTGTCAACACACACAGGCGTGGCCTAGTTTATACATCTGGCTGCAAGTGGTGCTGTAATAATGTGCTGGTGACGTGCAAGCCTGTAGTTTGAGCTGGGCCCTCAAGTGGAGGCCTGCTTATTGACAGGCGGGAAGCACCCAAATTGGGCATCTATGTAATTAGGTGCTCGCATGGAAAATTCGGTTCACATTCCAGACCCATCTGCATGATGGAAGGAAGGGGCTTCTGCCATTTCTCTACCACACCACTGCAGCGCTGCAACCCTTCACCCAAGCCCACCACTTAGAGCAAGAGGGGACTTGAATTCAAATCACCAATCCCTCTCAGCCCACCTGGCTTCCTCTCCCCCGCCCCCCTTTGCTTTATAGGGTTTCCACCTCTGGGTTCCCAGCTGCCACCATATAGGCACAACTGTCTCTGACTAATTTTTGTCACATCCTTGATAGCTTGACCAAATATGAGACATACCGTATTTTTCTGTGTATAACACACCCCTGTGTATAAGACTATTCAGGGGGACTCAAAAATAGTTGTTGAGCTTTTTGGGGGAAAGGTTGCCCACAGTTGTTGAGCTTTTTTGGGGGATGCCAAAAAAGGCTCACCCGACTGGCCAACGCTTCCGATCGAACGCAACACAGAAGCCTCCATTTCCTCTATTTCTGCTCATCACAAGCAGCTGCTAATCACCTGTCCAATTGCTGCAGCAGCGCCCAATGGACAGCAGCCATTGACACAGCCTCCAATCTCCCGCTCGTCACAAGCAGCCGCCAATCACCCGCCCAATTACTGCAGCACTGACCAATCGACAGCAGTCATTGACGCAGTCACCAATCTCCCACACTAACGCCAGTGACAATTGACTGCTTGTGGCAGGAAGCAATACACCCTTTGCCACTACCCGTGTATAAGACGCCCCCAATTTTTAACCAGTTTTATCATTAAAAAAACCCTCATATTATACACGGAAAAGTACAGTAGTTTGAATGAACAACCTTTTTTATAATCTAACAGCTGAATGTAACACGTTCTTATGCGGTTTGTTTTCAAAAACAGCATTTGGATTTTTTTGTATTTCATGACATGCGTTCATAACTCTATTCCTAATACAAATTTAAATCCTAATCTTGTCCTATTCCCTGCTTCTCAGCACCCACACCAGCCCCTGCCCCCGTCTCCTCCCTCCTGAAATCCAACTCTCCCCTTTCCTCTCGCACCCCTCTTCTAACTGTCACACTCCACCCTCAGCAAATCAACACATGACACACTCCTTCATTCCACCCCCTCTCCCCCACTTGCTCTCACTCCTTACCTTACACCTTATAAATATCTCCTTACCTACATAACATTTTATCATATATCTCTTAGCATGCAAATCTATACAAGTCAGATATCATGAGCGACGCCACACTGCCCTTATCTGAATGTTCGAAGTGGGGCAAGTCTTGTGAGACACATGACATGCTTTCTTTAAGACAATTCTGTTTGGGTTCCTTTTGTAAAACAGATTTTACACCCTCCCATCAGATGTCAAGGAAATAAACAACTATCTGACTCTTAGAAGACATCTGAAGGCAGCCCTGTTTAGGGAAGTTTTTAATGTTTGATGATTTATTGTATTTTTAATATTTTATTGGAAGCCACCCAGAGTGGCTGGGGAAACCCAGCCAGATGAGCGGGTTATAAATATTATTATTACTACTGCTGCTGCCGCCGTCACCACCGCTGCTCCAGTGGTGCCTTGGTTTAAGAACAGCTTAGTTTATTAACTCCATTCTGAAGGAAATCAGCCCTGAGTGCTCACTGGAAGGACAGATCCTGAAGCTGAGGCTCCAATACTTTGGCCACCTCATGAGAAGAGAAGACTCCCTGGAAAAGACCCTGATGTTGGAAAAGATGGAGGGCACAAGGAGAAGGGGACGACAGAGTACGAGATGGTTGGACAGTGTTCTCGAAGCTACAAACATGAGTCTGACCAAACTGCGGGAGGCAGTGGAAGACAGGAGTGCCTGGCGTGCTCTGGTCCATGAGGTCACGAAGAGTCGGACACGACTAAACGACTAAACAACAACAAAAGTTTATGAACAACTTGGATTAAGAACTCTGCAAACCCGGAAGTAGTTGTTTTGGTTTGTGAACTTTGCCTTGGAATAAGAACATGTTTCGCTTCCTGTTGATTGTGTTCCATTTATAAATTGAGTCCCCCACTGCTATGGGAAAGCAGGCCTTGGTTTTAAAATGCTCTGGTTTAAGAACGGACTTCTGGAACAGATTAAGTTCGTAAACCAAGGTACCACTGTACTTCACTATATATAGAAGCATTTGCCATCACTTCATTCTTGACTCAAAAAGTGTTTTGTCTGGGTGCAGCCGTGGTTGGAAAGTTTAGGTTTGATTGCTATCATATAACCCCTTTAACCATGTATACATAGGATTAACAAATATAATTCCAACAAGCTCTTAAATTAAGAATCAAGAACTTTGCATGAAGGGTTTTAATAGGCCTTGAGTGCTGCTCTTACGGTCTGCCAATCTCATTTTATCTTCACTCAGCATCTAAAAATGCACTTAACCCACGCTCATTTTTCAGTGCTGTATGTAGGAAGTTTTCAACAATGTTGTAAGGTTTTGATTACCTGACAAAGCCAACAGTCGCATGAGTAATAAGAGAGTGGCTTATTAGCGGGCAGTGAATGTGCTCAAAAATTTCCTCAGCACAGAACTCTGAATTGAACCTTTCCAGTTTAATACTGAAGGAGCCTTGTTGCAAATAGAAGGAAACTCCCCAGAGAAATATACTGGATGAATGACACCAGGGCATTATTCACAATGTAATTTTTCCTAGTTTATATAGAGAGACTCCCCCATCAATATGGTCTTTATGGGTGCTATCAGCACAAAATATGAAATTTTTAACCATTTCCTGGCCTTGGAACAGGAAATATTAAGGAATTCATAGGACTCATCTGTTTAATTAACATGTGTTGTGCCAATAACCATCAATCACTTCCTGCATGCTGGGCATGGCAGCATTATTAACAGGATACTGTTTTTTCTCTCTCTCCCATTTCCCCAGTTAAGTCTGTTTAGTTGGCTATCTCTCAGTTCAACCTGATGTTCAAAATGTTCTAAATAATTTTTATCCTGGTATAAAATTTGTCTTAATTTATTCTTTTCCTCTTTGGAGAGGGCAGATTTTCCAGCCTGTTATTGTATTCTGGCATTTCTGTGGGGGAAGATAGATACAGACACGCATTGTGCTGAATCGCTGGTAAAAACTAAGTTTGACTAATTACAAAAAAAGAAGATCTACTCCCTAAATTCCAACCATAATTAATTTATAATTCCAAATTATTATTAACTGTACCTGATGCCCTTCATGCAGCTACAGAGCATGGCAGGATTTTATCAGCCTCCGGCTCATCACAGGACTTTTCTACTGCAGTATCCACAACTTCATGGAAGTCTCTGCCCTTGTTTGAAATATTGTATAAACATGAATTCCCCTTTACTCCCCTTTACTCTTTGTTGCCATTGTTAGGGAAGTGGTTAAATCCTCTATAATGCTTCTTCTTCCTTGTCTGCTAAGAAACTGGAGCTATGATTATTTACCTTGGATCCACACAAAGTGGTTTTAGGATAACACATAGAGAAGGCTATTCTTCCATTCTCTCACCAAACAATCAGCTCTTATTCTGGAGGCAGTGCCATCAGGTACCACCATGGTTTACAGAGGTAGCAAGCAGGTGGGTGGGTGGGAAACTGGGCAGAGAGTACTAAGCAGAAGGAAACATTGGTCGATCACAGGATGCAAATGGATCACCTGGATTAAAAGCAGCCAGTCCAGCCTGATGGCCTGTTTCTTTTCACAAGGAGTTATGTTAGAGCATGTTGCAGAATGTGTTGAATTTGCCTTATGATTCAGCAGAATACAGCAAGACATAGTGACTGATGTGATAGCCCCAAATCAGCACTTCAGTATAGATGTACCTACACAGGGATGCGGGTGGCGCTGTGGGTTAAACCACAGAGTCTAGGACTTGCTGATCAGAAGGTTGGCAGTTCGAATCCCCGCAACGGGGTGAGCTCCCGTTGCTCTGTCCCTGCTCCTGCCAACCTAGCAGTTTGAAAGCACGTCAAAGTGCAAGTAGATAAACAGGTACCGCTCCAGCGGGAAGGTAAACGGCGTTTCCGTGCGTTGCTCTGGTTCTCCAGAAGCGGCTTAGTCATGCTGGCTTAGTCATACGTCGGCTCCCTCGGCCAATAAAGCGAGATGAGCGCCGCTACCTCAGAATCAGCCACGCCTGGACCTAATGGTCAGGGGTCCCTTTACCTTTACCCTTACACAGCAGCTCTGGTGCCCAACACCCTTCAGGTATGCCCTGCCAAATCAAGTGACTCAGCGGTCCACTCATGGAAATGGGCATGCCTGAACTAGAGGGAAGCATTTGCTGGCCTTGCCTACTTTCACATTCACCAGTCCTATGACCTGTACATTCTTGGAAATTTGGATTCGTCCCCTGAAAACATAGTTCTCCAGATACCTATAGAATTTAACAACTGACTATTCGCCCCCCTCCTCCACCTACCCACCCTGTGTCTCTCATGAGCACACGGCAAATGAAAGCACCCATAGTTTCCCGCTGCAAAGACGCCACACGTTTCTGTTTCCAACGCTTCCGTGTTCTGTCAAACAAAATCTGGATGCCTGGCGGATTTGCAGTTGGTCCCGAGGGAGGAGAAATCAAAGTGGGAGAGGGAGCAGTGGAGCCCTGACAAGCGCTGTGTTGCTCGCTTGACTTGCTTTTAAAGGCACTTTTGTGATGCAGATCACAGCACAGCAGTTATTCAAGTACCACCAGAGATGGATATGAGCCATGATTTTCAGAGCATGGAGGAGGAGGGGGGAAACAAAGGCAAAAATGTGGGGGACGATGACAAAAAGCCTCTTCCCCTTCCTTCTACCTTGCTTTGAAATTAATGGGAGTGCCACCACTTACTTCAATTCGGGGCAAGGCTCCCCCACATAAGATCTTGAAATGTATTTTGGTTCACTGAACGTTGCATTCAAAAAGCTACCGTATTTGATATGGCAGACAAGGCGAGAGAGAGAGAGAGAGGCAGCCGAGCTTCAGGAAGCCAGATGCCAAACAGCTCTTTCTTCTTACAGACTCTCTGGCTTACAGTCCTCCCCCGACCCATCCGCACTCATTCACTTTTCCTATCCACTGAGCACAAACAATTCTGCATCTGAGCCTAGCTGCATTCCTCTCCCTCGAATCCTCTAGCAGTTTCCACACAAAGGGAAATCTCCTACTGTAAATGGTTTTTAAAAGCGAACTTCCTGCCAAGCCTCGCAAGGGTGTTGATTTCTGTTTGGAGCCGATAAGTAGCTTTCCAGTCCTGAGGAGTGAAGCTATGGGAGGACAAAACCAGATCTGTATTAATCCTCATCCTCCCTGAGCTTTTAACGGTTTCCTATTTGTAATGAGTAATGGGTGTTCCTAGAATACAGAGAATGCTCTTTACTATCAGCTGGTTCGTATTCTGAGCTTTTAAACTGCAGCTGCTTTTCCTAGGAAGATGCATTTTGGACCTGCCTTGGGCTGGCCCTGCCAGTAGGCAGAATGAGGTGACCAACTCAGGCAGCTGATTTTGGTAGCTCCACCTCAGGCAGCAGAATGGCTTGGGCTCGACCTTCTTCAAAGGACTTGTTAAAAGGAGTTCCAGACAATGAGACCTTAGCTTTGAACCTACCTTCACACTAAGGTACTCATAATAGGCCTTGCTTTGAGGCTCGGTATCTTTAATCAGGGACACGGGTGGCGCTGTGGTCTAAACCACTGAGCCTCTTGGGCTTGCCAGTCAGAAGGTTGGCGAGTCGAATCCCTGCGACGGGGTGAGCTCCCATTGCTCGGTCCCAGCTACTGCCAACCTAGCAGTTCGAAAGCATGCCAAAAAGTGCGAGTAGATAAATAGGTACCACTCCGGCGGGAAGGTAAATGGCGTTTCCGTGTGATGCTCTGGCTTCGCCAGAAGCGGCTTAGTCATGCTGGCCACATGACCAAGAAAAACTGTGTGCGGACAAACGCCAGCTCCCTCGGCCTGTAAAGTGAGATGAGCGCCGCAACCCCAGAGTTGTCTGCGACTGGACTTAACTGTCAGGTGTCCTTTACCTTTACCTTTTTTATCTTTAATCAACTTCCTAATGTTGGAGATACAACAGTGGAGGATGCCCCAACTCTCTGGAGCCAATGTTTGGGTTTGGGGGAGCTGCAGGGGAGCAGAGAATCGGTAAAAATAACCTCCCCTCTACTATTTGCGGAGCCATCCACTGGATCAGATGCCCTTCAGATGCACAAAGACTCCACCCTACATTTACACACTGCTTTGGAGTAAAGATTAGCTCCCAAAAGAAGTTCACCATTAAAAGCCCACCATAAAAGTTCAGGGTGCTAGGGCAGAGACGGTGTATGGTCGCTGGCATCTGATAACGTAGTACAGACTCCCGCCTATTCCCTTCAGAGGGAGAGGACAGAAGGCACTGTAGACAGGGTTTGTATGTGAAAAATTGGGATTATATCCAGGCAGCAATAATTGTTTGAGCAAATGCCATTCTGACATCAAAGTATGCAAATAATAGTTAAATTAGATGCAAATTAAGTGCCCATCTTTTGGGATTCTGGCAACACTGGCAGTCCAATTTAATGTTTTGTTCTCAAGAGTGAGCGAGTGATTAGGCCTTCTGGAGGAAAAGCAACATAAAACATTCTGGTGCCAACTTTAATGATTCTAGCTATTCAACAGAACATGGGCCATCACAAGTGGAAATTCACGCATATATAAAAAAGAAACAACACTAATCCAGGTTTTATTTTTTAAAAGAATAATAATTGAATTCTCAGGAAAAATTCAACATAGAACTGTTGTATTTTAGTGCCATTGTGTTCCCAGGTAGAGCTCCACCCTAATCAGAAGGTAAGCATAATAATGTTCTGTGCTGAATGGTGACTAAAATGGGTGATTTATCCCTTCACCTCAGTTGCAACTCAGTGGGTCTTCATTTTCTAAGCAAAAAGCCTTCGCTGTGTTGCATCTGCTTCAGCTGCAGAGGTCAGAAAATATTCTCAAGCTCTGATTAATCTAATTGTGATGCAGTCAGGAGGCTTTTTTGGAGAGTAGATCTCTGATTAGACCCTGATTGGACTTCCTTCCCTGTGTTCAATTGCACAGCAGAGCTCAGCACTGTAAATCTGTGATTCATTCAACGGCTCAACCACTGAGCTCAGAAATCAATGCACTTCCAGGGGGGGAGAAATATGGATAGGAAGATGGCAAGAAGGGGGAGAAGGCAAGAAGATCAATGTTCTGCTTTCATATATTGTAAAATCGATATTACCGTGCTCATAAATTATAGTGGCTGATGTAGCAGCCCTAAGTCAACTTGAGCCCCGGCAGTCTTCCATTCTCCAGAACTACGAAGGTACATGAACAAGCCAGTTTAGCCTCTAGTTCAGAGCTTTCCAAACTATGTGTCACGACACATTAGTGTGTCAGCTACAATGTGTAGTAGGTGTGTCACACAAAACGCCCCCTGCGCTCCTCCTGGGACTGGAAAGGGTTAGTTTAACCTCCGGTTTGCTAGTAAAACTGAATTACTGTGTCGCGAAATGATGCAAAACTGACTTACTGTGTCGCGAAATGATCCATGTCCAAAAAGCGTGTCACCAACTTGAAAAGTTTGGAAAGCTTCGCTCTAGTTCCTTTTGGGCATTTCTTTAGTTAATAATAAAGGGACTCCCCCCCCCTTTTTTTTAACCTGAGGTAGAAGCTGCTTTGTGTAAACTTAGCAAGTGGAGTGCTCCTGTTCAGGGTTCCACCAACTTTGCCTCTTTTCAGGATACTCTATTCCATTCGCCTTCCTCCTCCCTAGTTTTCTGCCCCGCCTTCAGCCTGTGTTCTGTGACCACAAAGCATGCTCAGTCCAGGTTGTTCCATTTAGGGAATGCAGGTGGCCCACTGAAGTTTTTTCTCCTAACTCTCCCCCCACCCCCTGATTCTGCTGATACCTGCCTCTTGCTTCTCAGTAGTCCTGTTTTGGCTATATCACTGATTCACTACTAGAATACTGTATGTGACAATTAGTTGCCACGTTAAACAGGCACGACATGAATATCTCTTGTCCAAGAGTTAGCAGCAGTCCAAGTAAGCTGGACACAGTCATTTTCATAAGGCATTTTAAAACGCCGTGCTTTTGAACTGCTAGGTTGACAGGAGCAGGGACCGAGCAACGGGCGCTCATCCGTCACAGGGATTCAAACCGCTGACCTTCTGATCGGCAAATCCTAGGCTCTGTGGTTTAACCCACAGCGCCACCTCTAAACATCAGCAGTGGAAACACACTGGAGTAAATCAGTAGTAAGCTGGTAATGCGTACACAGCCTAATAAAATAGGTTTTGCTGCAGCCAGACTATCTAGTAGGAAGTCTCTACTATATTTTCCCAAGTTCTGATGTAAAATGAGAAACATTCATAGATGCTGTCTTAAAACACTGAAAGCAGACGTCTCATATCACCTATTTAAAGGATCAAATGTCAATATTTTTTAGAACTAATAGAGGCCGGAAGCCAAGCCTATGAAACATTACCTGGAATTTCATCATGAACAGATCTGAAGCCACAAACAGCCTAAACATTATATCAAAATACTTTTGAACAGGAGTCTCCAAAGAGCTGATAGCTCTCAAAATAAAATTCCACCCCCAATGTACCTTTGAGTCCCAGAGTTTTGATGCATGGTGCTAATGAACTGGTAAGGGGGAAAAACAACTTTGTTCCTATGAATATGAGGAATTTACGGGCAGAAAAGGTGCCGCCCTCCAACCAGAGTTTGTATCACCCTATCAACATTTAATACTTTTTTGTAAGAAAAAAATTAGTCCAACAATATGATATATGAATACCTGGCATGGTTTTAAATGAAGGCAGGTTCCTTTCACTCCTATAGCAATTCCTCCTGGTTCCGTATCTACTCCTTGAATTCTAGACTAGTGAAGAAATAAACTGCATTAGATGTGCAAGTACATGTATCTGAAGGTTAACATAAATTTAGGGGTAGGCCATTTGCAGGGATAGCTGTTCCGGTTTGTTCTTCCCTGCAAATGGCTCTAAACTTTCTTTTTCCCATACATGTTTTTTTTTCCCCAGAGCCTGTCTGGATAGGAAATGATCAAGGGGCAACATTTAAATCAGCCAATGTGGTGCCCTTGAGATGCTGTTGGACTCCAACTTCCATGAAAACCAGCCAGCATGGCCAGAGGCCAGGTGTGCTGGAAGTTGTAGTTCAGCAACATCTGGAGGGCATAATGTTAACTACAGCTGTTTTATTGCCATGCAACCTATTATATCCAACATACTGTCATGAGTTTGTGGGTGCCAGACACTTCTAAATTCCTGGATCCAGTAAGTGTTAGAATTTAATCAAGGCTTGGGGTGTTAAAATGAATGCTAGACACTTCTAATCCCTGGATTTAGCAAGTATTAAGAGCTAATTAAGTCAGGCTAGCCTCCTGGGTGATGGGCTCTTAAGAGAATGAAGCATCAAACAGCTTGTGCAAGTTGGCAAATGGCTGGAGCCCCCATTGCTCAACAGATAAAGGCAGAATTTAGAGTAGAGAGGGGAAGGAGTTATATGACCGAGAAGCAAGGCAGCGAGCGGGAAAGTCAGAAAGGCAGAGAAATGGTAGATCTCAGCTTGAATCCAGGGCTGTGGCTATGGGAGAAACAAGACTCTTTAGGGTGTTGATGCTGTGAACCCCTCCATCGTAGGCTCAGGTTGTATATATGTGTAAATAAACCATATATCCTAAAGACATCACAGTCTCCATTGTGCCTCAATTCCCAAGGAAACATGAACTCTGGGTAAGCGCCTGGAACCCCTTGAATCTCACGCTGCTTGGAGATTGGGGTAGTGTGAAACAACACTAAAATGTTTAGAAGAAACTGGTGGTTTGCCACTCTTTTTAAAGTGGGGAGGTATGTTAGAAGCCACCAATGTATACAAAAAGTAACCATCTTATGGTGATGGGTGGAGCTATAGCTCATATAACTTTGTTTCTTTAAGAAAGCTTTTGAGTTACATGGAGCTCTTTGTTCAGTTAGAACAGGTGGAAGAAAGGGGATTCTTCTATTTCTGGTAAGTTCCAGTCTCATCTCCATTCAAGCTGGCTCATAGAAAATAATTTGTAGGTTCCATAGCTTCATTAAGTATTTTTAAAACCACTATTTTGAGACATTGCAACTTTTATTCTGTAAAGTTATATTAATAGATTAATCATTTGATATACTAAATCATTTGATATACTATGATATACTAAAAAAAAAAGAGCTTTGGAAATCAGTTGTCATCAATTTTAAATTATAGATGTCCAAACTGGTTTTCAATTAGCACTGCTATAATGGTGCTCTGTTGTAAATGGCTTCCTTGGTGCCAAATAATATGGCAATAATGGAGCAATTGAAGTTTTTACAATAGAACAGAGGAAAATATAGAGAAATGTGGCACCGTCACATTACAGTAGCTGCACACAGTCAGCAGTTGATCCTCTGCATAATTATCATTAACTACATCTCTATTAAAAATGTCCAAGGTATAAATTCTAATTATTTGATGGCGGGTGTGGTTTGAAACGGCACCATGCTTGGGGCATTTAAAAATGCCTGTGTTGCCTATCCAGTGGTATAAACACCAAATTATAAAGAATATTTCAAATCAAATGTTGAATGCCAAATATGCGTCAAGTATACTTGTATTTGTCTGCCTGCAAGGAAAAAAACAACCTAAGAGGGCAGAACAACTTTGACCCAAAAAACAGTATGGAAATGATTACGCATGCCTCCTTCCTTGCTGGAACAGCAATAAGATTTACAGCCCCTGACAGTCATTGGTGCAGTTAGGTAATTTTAGATTCTGTGCTTTGCCTGCAATCATTCCACTCACCTGGAAGTAAACCCATTGAATTGAATAGAACTTACTTCTTACTAGAAAACGGTTAAGGGTTGTGCTGTTAACTGTTTTCCCCGGCCCACCTTCTTTAGATGTTATGGAGAAATCCTGTTCAATTGAATGGGTCTTCTATAATGCATAGTGACATTTGTCTTGTAATGTATTTGTCTGGTCCTTTAAAAATCAGTTTAACTGTCGCTTGGAGCCTTAACAGACTCATGCAAGGAAGGTTTGGTGTCAGAATTCTCAGTATAAAGAAGGGGGGAAAGGAGATTTTGATTGGTGGAGGGCAGTATAGAATTTTCAGTTAGACAGTGGGATTGGCTGGAGCTGAACTAGAGGGACCGGAGGAAGTGTATATATATGAATGGGTGCTGATCAGCAGGGAGTTAGTTAGCGATGTTGGAGCTTGGTGTTCATGAAGTCATCTAGAAGATGAAGATGGAAGAGGACCAGGGAAGAAGGAAGATTTCAGAGGTAGGCAGAGTGGCTTGATGATGATGATGATAATTGGTATTTATTAAATTTGTATACTGCCCTTCATCCAAAGATCACAGGGTGGTTTACAACATAAAAATACAAAATGAGAACACAAAATACATAATAAAATAAAATAAAATAAAATAAAATAAAATAAAATAAAATAAACAAATCAATAAGCCAAAGGCCTGGTAACAGAGAAATGTTTTTGCATGGTGCCTAAAGATATGTAATGAAGGCACCGGGCAAGCCACCAAAGGGGAGCCACCTCAGAAAAGGCGTATTCTCATGTTATTCCCCTCCAGGCCTCTCATGGTGAGGGCACACAAAGGCAGGCCTCAGATGATGATCACATGAGGAACCCAGCCACCAAATACCACTTCAGTTGAAGTTTACAAACCATTTTCATTTTTTTTTTTTATAATATTTATTGTTTTTACAAAAACAAATTCCAAAAAATGTGGAAAAATACAAAAATTCGACAAACAGAAAACAACATTACCCATAACAAAAAACAAACATAGATAACAATATCCATAACACAAAAAGAAAAAGGAAAAAAAGAAAAAAAGACAGAAAAATTTAAAAAGTAATATACCTTCATTTAACCTTTTTATCATTACCTAATTCTTTGACTTCCCGCATCTCCCGCTTGTATTTCCATTTAAAAACTCCTTTCAGCAAATCCTTACCCTCCTTTCTTTATCTTAACTCAAAGTTAATCTATTTATATATAAATATTACAGCTTTATCCATCAAATATTCCATACTCTTAATCACAAGACTTTTGCCAATACCAGTTATTTTCAGTCAGACCTCAATTTAACATTCATTAATTTTATAGTATTTCTGTAGATAGTCTTTAAATTTCTTCCAATCTTCTTCCACCGACTCTTCTCCCTGGTCACGGATTCTGCCAGTCATCTCAGCCAGTTCCATATATTCGATTACCTTCGTCTGCCATTCTTCCAGAGTGGGTAAATCTTGTGTCTTCCAATACTTTGCGATGAGTATTCTTGCTGCTGTTGTTGCGTACATAAAGAAAGTTCTGTCCTTTTTTAACACCAATTGGCCGACTATGCCCAGGAGAAAGGCCTCTGGTTTCTTAGGAAAGGTATATTTGAATACCTTTTTTAATTCATTATATATCATTTCCCAGAAAGCCTTAATCCTTGGGCACGTCCACCAAAGGTGAAAGAATGTACCTTCAGTTTCTTTACATTTCCAACATTTATTATCGGGCAAGTGATAGATTTTTGCAAGCTTGACTGGGGTCATGTACCACCTGTACACCATTTTCATTATATTCTCTTTTAAAGCATTACATGCTGTAAACTTCGTATCTGTGGTCCATAACCGTTCCCAGTCCGCAAACATAATATTATGTCCAACATCCTGTGCCCATTTAATCATAGCAGATTTTACCGTTTCATCCTGAGTATTCCATTTTAGCAGCAAGTTATACATTCTTGAAAGTGTTTTAGTTTTGGGATCTAGCAGTTCTGTTTCCAACTTTGATTTTTCCACCTGAAAGCCAATTTTTCTATCCAGATTATAGACCTCTCTTATTTGATAATAATGCAACCAGTCTCGCACTCTATCTTTTAATTTTTCAAAACTCTGCAATTTGAATTTATCTCCTTCTTGTTCCAAGATCTCCCAATATTTTGGCCACTTGGCCTCCATATTGGACTTTTTAGGGCCTTTGCCTCCATTGGTGATAGCCACCTTGGGGTTTTGTTTTCCAATAAGTCTTTATATCTTATCCAGACATTGAACAATGCTTTCCTGACAATATGGTTTTTAAAAATTTTGTGAGCTTTAACCTTGTCATACCGCAAATATGCATGCCACCCAAACACATTATTGAAACCTTCTAAGTCCAAAACATCAGTATTTTCCAGAAGTAACCAATCCTTCAACCAGCAGAAAGCTGCTGATTCATAATAAAGTTTAAGGTCTGGCAGGGCAAATCCCCCTCTTTCTTTAGCATCAGTCAATATTTTAAATTTTATCCTGGGCCTCTTGCCCAGTTTACAAACCATTTTCAGAGGCAATGAAGTTTACAAACCATTTTCAGAGGCAGTCCTACACATAACGCTTTGCAGTGAACTAACCTAGAGGTTCAAATCACAGGCAACAGAAGTTAGGTGAGGCATCCCCAGCCTGCGGCCCTCCAGATGTTTTGGCCTACAACTCCCATGATCCCTAGCTGACAGGACCAGTGCTCAGGGATGATGGGAATTGTAGTCCAAAACATCTGGAGGGCTGAAGGTTGGGGATGCCTGCGTTAGGCTATCCCTGTCCAGATAAGGGTGCAGCTGGGCACCAGCCAAAGCTGATGGAAAGCACTCTGCAGAACCAAGGTCATCTGAGCCTCAAGCGAAAGCAAAGGATCCAGGAGTACCCTCAAGCTATGTACCCACTCCTTCAAAGGGAATGTAACCCCATCAAGAGCAGGCATCCTCCCAGCCATGTGGTCTAGTGAACCACCCACTAGCTATGCCTCAGTCTTAGCTGGATTGAGTTTCAGCTTGTTGGCCCTCATCCTGTCCATTGCCAAGGCAGCACATCCACTGCTACACCTGCAGATATAATGGAGAAGTAGAGCTGTGTGTCATCAGCATATTGCTGACATGCTCCAAAACTCCAGAAGTTCAGCGGTTTCATGTGCAGTGGTACCTCAGGTTACATACGCTTCAGGTTACATACGCTCCAGGTTACAGGCTCCACTAACCCAGAAATAGTACCTCGGGTTAAGTACTTTGCTGCAGGATGAGAACAGAAATCGTGCTCCAGCGGCATGGCAGCAGCAGGAGGCCCCATTAGCTAAAGTGGTGCTTCAGGTTAAGAACAGTTTCAGGTTAGGAACGGACCTCCGGAACGAATTAAGTACTTAACCCAAGGTACCACTGTAGCTGTTAAGCAGCATGGTGGATAAAATTGAGTCCTGAGGAACCCCACATTGGAGGCTACAAAGGGCCACCCCCCACCCCAAGCATCACCCCCTGGGAAATGACCATCCAGGACCAGAACCACTGCAAAATCAGTGCCACCCACCCCCAACTCAAACAGCCATTCCAGATGGTGTCAAAAGCTGCTGAGAGATTGAGGAGAATTAACAGTAACACATTTCCTCCATCTTTCTCCTGACAGAGGTTATCATGCAGAGAGTCCAAAGCAGTTTCTGGGCCAAAACTAGGCCAAAACCCCAACTGAAATGGATCGAGATGGCCAGAGACTTGCTGGGGCCAAGTGAATCACTTGGCTTAGATGGGAGAGACAAGGGGAGAAACGGGGGAGAAGTGAGAAACAGCTTGGGATGTTGGTCTCTAGTGGCTGGTAGGAGGACCAGAGGGAAGATTTCCAGGGCAGTAGAGCGAGACCAGCTTGTGGTTTAATAGGCCAGTAAAGGGCTGGTGGGAAAAGGCTTCCAGCCCAGCCCTCAGTGACAGTGTTAGTGAAGCTTTATTGGGGTGCATAGAGAGATAAAGGGAGCATTTTGGGTAAGGAGTTTTTATAGGGTAACCACCTGCTTCCTTCAAGCTGTCTTAGTATATCATTAATATGTACTGTAGCTGAATAGAAGCTGTTGGTATTTAAAAGGGCAGTAACAAGTTAACAAAGTGTGTGCTTGTTTAAATATGCAGTACTATTTTAAAATAACCAGACAAGCCTGTGCACTTAATGATCTTGTAACAAATAAGCATAAATACATTTGTTAATGGTAACATCTGGATCTAGCTGGCTTTCTACCACTCCTCTACCCCACAATTCCTAGGTTATTGTTAAGTGCTCACAGGCAATAAGTGAGACTGAATAGTAGTAGTAGCCTGGGTCTAGGAGAACCCATTGGAGTGGAATTTAAAGTTTGTTATTACAGAGTAGGTAAGTAAGTAAGTACTACTGCCACTGCCCCATTGCTGTTAGCTACGCTATGGTTTGGCTTAGTGTTCTGTGTGAATCCAGGTTCCTGGTTTATCTCTCCCAGACAAATCAGGTGCATATTTCAAACATTTCAGCGATTTCCGTCCAGACCCTGCTTCCAACTGCAGTATTCTGGTTATGGCTGGTAAATTCTGGATGTATGGCAACCCTAAAACTATAAAACATATTTTGGGGTTTTTTTTTCTTCCCTCCCTCCTACACTGCATCACTTCCTCATACCATAGCTGTCAAGTGTCCCTTATTTGAAGGGACAGTCCCTTATTCCAGCGCCATGTCCCGCTGCTGTCCCTTATTGATGGATGTCCCTTAAATGTCCCTTAAATGATGTCCCTTAAATTTCAAAGGTAGCAGCTCCTCTCCCTCCCTCCCTGCCGGCCAGGGAGGAGGGAGGCTCCAACTGTGTTGCTTGGCTGTGTTGCTCACCCAATAAGAAGTCTAAGAACGACTGGGGGGTGGAGCTTGCATGCCTTGTGCTGATCAAATCGGCTGCCTTGCCTGGGGACTCGCCTTTGCTCAGCGCTTCCCAGCGGAGAGGTGACGGTGGTTTTCCTCGAGGCTTCGTTTGGCTGCTGGCTGGGCTTTCTGCCTTTGGCTCAGAGGGGCTCAGAAGTTGAACATGCCTGTGCTGAGTGCTCGGATCAGAATCGGATGGATACGTCAGCGACGGCCCACTCATCCTTGCCGGCGAAAAGGTCCGTCTGGAGCGGGGGCACATGGTGGGGGAAAAGGAAAGGAGATCTCGTGGGGGGGGGGCTTTTGAATTTGTTTTGGAGGCTCCTTCGATTGACTTATGGGGGGAAAGAAAGGAGCTGGTTGACTAAAATGGTGCGTGACTGGCGATCTCGTGGCGAGGGGGGGAGGCTGTGTGTGTGGCTAGTTAATGCAAGCTGAAGGGGTTTTTGAATGCTGGACGCCATTTTGTTGCACGTGCTGCTGCAAACTTTGCAGTGCAAAGCCAGGCCGGGGAGCCATCTTAAGCTGAGGCTGCATAGGCCTTGTGGTGCATGTGATTCAGATTCTATTCAGTTGAACCTCTGGTTACAAAGTTGGTTGGACAGTATTCTCGAAGCTACCAGCATGAGTTTGACCAGACTGCAGGAGGACAGGAAGACTGGAGTGCCTGGAACAGGTGAGGCTGCAGGTCCCTTATTTTGGCTGCTGATCCCTTACTTTCAAGGCTGCTGGTCCCTTATTTTCAAATCTGCAAGCTTTCTTACCGTTCCAGTAAGAAGCAAGTGTTTAGGACCATGGTTGTAAAAACAACAAGTCAAGATGATGATATACCTCTCCTGTTCATCAGCATAATTTTCCTGAACGTAGAGGCCTAGATTGTAGCAACCAAACAGACAGAAAGATCATCATAATTTTTTAAAGAAATAGCTCCAGCAGCAATCTGTTGTCATGGAAACAATTCTTCACCTTAAGGTGCTTGGTATTTGTCTTTCTGTTTAATGACATTGCTTGTGTGCCTCACAGCTTCCATTCTCATTTGTTCTCTAACTCCAACAGGGATTCCTTGAGGCTGCTATAAGTTAGTTCCTAATTGCTGTATTTTATTTCTTTATGTTGACCTTCAATATTTTTTTGTCAATCATAAGTGCTTCATTCTTTTTAGCATGTCTGTGTTTCACAGTGGTAATTTTTTATGCTGAACAGAGAATAATTTAAAATTCTCAAGTGCCCAATTTCCAAAATGAGATGAGGTAAGCTTATGTTCCCATTTTAGTGGTGAATAAAGGATACACAGAGAGATTCATTCATTGGAGCTAGTCTTGCCAGGGCAGAAAAACTGACTAGCAGCTTTGTACCACCATATCTGTTTGACTAACTGGAAGATGAGTTAAAATTACAACAGTTTTACACCATCATTCGTAAACAGACTACTGGAGTATAAGGTTCTTTGATTGCAGAAGTACCTCTAACAGTCTTGGCATTGCAATGTAGAGTTTCTCCAAGGCGATATATGCCAGCCCCCTCATCAATGGCACACTGCGAAAGCTGTCTACACAAGCTGCTTGATTAACAATGGCTCTGAGTACACAATCATTTGGATCAGAATGCTACAAAACCATCTGAAACCAACCGCTTGAGACAATAATTTTCCTAATATTTGGCTTGGTATAGTTCCTCTTGGCACAGTACGCATTTTCACATTGTTCAAGAGCCAACAAGGGCTGCCATTCCTCTACATCGTCTGAATATTAGAAAGGAGATATTTCCAGTCTGAAACCCTCTGCATTTGAAATAAGAAAAAATGCTATTGAGACCATTACGCTGCAAAAGTCGATGAAGAAGCCAGATATATTAAGTGAGTGGAGTCTTTAATTTGATTGCGTTAACAACAGGGATATATTTTCTCATCATGGGCCTGATAAGGACAAGGTAATCCTATGCTTTGCTTTTAAGATAGCATATAGTCAAACCTGAGCACAGAATGTACATCTGATATAGGGCATGGCTTAAAGCAAAAACCGACTGCTGCCATTTTGGAATCTTATCAGACTACCTTTGATTAAAGTGTGAATAGAAATGCTGAACTTTATTATCTGAAGGTGGTGGCAGAGAGAAAGTGTGATTGTGCTGTAAATTGGCTGAAGACTGAGGCTGCAACATGGGGCAGCCTTGGCAGGGGCCATGGATTAAGAAAAGCCTACTGGCCCCTGATTGGTCCCCAGCATGAGTGAATGTCTTCTAAAAAATTTAAAAAAGGGATCCCCCAACCCAGGCTTAGGGGGTAACACCCTTTGAAAACAGAGAACAGCTAGATTGCACAAGCATGTGGTAATGAGCAAATATAAAATCTGGAAGTCACCGGGCCACCAAACCAAGCCACTTACTTCGAGAGGGTGCGGAGAGATGGCTGACGGGGGTGGAAGTGGGAATAAGCAAGAAACATAAGGTGAAATGAGTGGGGAGATGTGTGAGGACAGTGGGAAGTGAGGGGTACATTTGAGGCATAAAGCATTGGTGGGTTTTTTTTTAAAGAAAAGCCAGAGGCCAATGAGGAATGTTCAGTGGCCAAGGCATGTTATCAGTTGGCAAAGAAAAACGGAAAACCGAGGAGAGTGGAATGGGGTATCCTAGGGGATACCTGTAGTCATGACATGAACAGAAGCATTCTACACTGCAGCTTTTATTTTTATTTAGTGGGCCACACTTGTTTTGCAACTGCCAAACTGACCTAACAGACCTATTAGATGGTAAATATCATGGAGAGTTGTCCTCAGTAAGAGTTTTAGATGTTCAAAGCCCTCCAGAATTAAAATCTCAGCCCACTCTGCTGGTTTTACCCTGGGTACTAATTAGCTGGACCTATTGATGTGGTAGTGAGGTTTATGATTGATATATTCATGCAATACTGCCCTCTAGTGAGCCATTCAGTATCATCCACAGAATAAATATCAGCTTTGAGGGAATCAAGCTGAAGTAAAATGAGCATTTCAGACTTGGAGCAATATTTGGAATAATCCTTTAACAAATCGCATGACTCTCAGCTAAAGTCAACACCTTTTTATTTTCCTGGTGGATTTCCAATTGATAAACTAGTCTTCAGACTGTTGGAACATATTCTCAGATTATAATGGCCTCCATTTTGGTACAACCCATTTCTCCCAGACTTCTGAAGATGTGATGAATGCTGACCCTGGACACGCATGTTAAATCATTCAGTGAGCATCCTGAGAGCCAAACCACATATTACACACAGGCACATGAAGCTGCAGCTCAGCTCCCCGTTTCTTGTTTCAACAGCCACTTTGTGAGGGTGCAATTGATAGGGGAGAAAGGCCAGCAGGAGGCATGCTTATCCCTTTCCCCACTCAACATTTCCTCACTGCAAACAGCCACAGGTGGCTGCAATTAAAATGCTTTCTTGGTGCATCACCTTGGTGCAATCACCTTTTGGTGCTATATGACCCTAAAAACCACTGAAAGGAATATATGAAGAAAAGGACTAGAAGAAATAAAACATTTTAGAAATATAGACCAGGACTTGTGAACTATTATATATGTAGCATTACATTACATGCAGCATTTTACTTGTTACTGGGACTACAGTGTTCTTAAAAATGTTTGGATTTCTGCATCTGAAAGTTGAGACTGCGTATTATTTCCACCTTTAAGTCAGAGGTAAGGGTGCTGCCCTTTCTCCCCTTCGATAAACTCACCTGGGCCAGCTGTTGCCTGCTTGCTTGTCTGCCTGTTGTCATGCTGGAAGTTGATGTGTCTTCATATTGGCAGCCGCACAAACTGCAACATGATGACAGCCTTACATTTTACATATATAGGAAGATAGTTTACAGAGCAACCTTAAGGCTGAAGGCATTAGGCTGCAGCTTAGGTGCCTTTTTGCTGGAGAGGAACATGGCTGCTGGAGGCTCCTACTATGCTCATGCAAGTGGTTCAGAGGGGAGGAATCTGTGACCCTTCAAATGTTGCTGGACTACAGCTCATATCATTCCTAACCATTGGCCATGCCAACTGGGGCTGATGGGTGTTTGCATCCAACACCAGAAAGACTACTAGTCAGTGGCATAGTGTGGGGGCACCAGGGGGGCCATTGCCCTGGGTACACATTGGGCAAACCAGCCACACACACAGAGAGAGATCAGGTGCGCAAGCGCCCACCATCAGCGGTGGGGGCTGGGGAGTGCAAAGGGTGAAGAACACTCTCCATGCCCCGCACCCTCCTGGCAGTGGTGAGGGCTGGATAAATGTGTTCCGCCCACCCTGGCACGTATGCACATGCTACACCCCTCCTATAAGTTAGTCAGCTTTAGTGCAGATATACTGCTGGTTTTGTTTTCATTGGGAGTACTTGGCATTAGGCCACAAAACAGGTGTGGCAGAGTCAGCCTTGGATTCGTAGCCATTCTTCCTAGAGGCTCAACCACTAGCTTGGAGCTGGCTTGGTTATATCCCTCCCACCCCATTGTCAGTGCTGTTAATTTTTCAAAATGGAGATCTGCTACGTAAAATGTCACACAGCCCCCCCCCACCTGCCATGGCCAGCACAAGCTAGCAGGGCTTTGGAGGACCATATGCCACTTCACTGCCCCCTTTTGGCATTGCTATGCCCATGTATTTTTATTTGTTATATTTTTTATTTTTCTGCTGGCCACTTTGAACATTGCTTGAAAAGTAGGACACAGATAACTTAAACAAATTTATGTAGGTGAACTTAGTCAGAAGCTTGGACAGAGAAGAAAACAACTTTCAATATGATTTCAATTCAGTTTCTTCATCATCAGAACACACAGGCAAACCCATCAGGCGCATTCTGAGAGGAATGGGGCACGTTGCTAGTCCCCATCCAGTCTGGCATGATGTGTGTTGTGGTGCAACAACATCTGTAATACATCAGGAACCGCAACTCCCCATATTAAGTGACCTAGACCAAACGATCATCATCTGAGGCCCTTCTTTGTGTGCCTCCTCCAGATGAGGTCCGGAGGGCAGCCGCAAGAGAATGGGCCTTTCCATGGTGGTTCCCAACCTGTGGCATGCTCTCCCCAGGGAGGCTCACCTGGCACCTTCATTACATATCTTTAGGCACCCAGCAAAAACATCCCCCTTCTCCCAGACCTTTGGCTAATTAGGCTATCTATGGCCTTACAACCTGAGGGGGAAGGGATTATTTTGTTTGTTACTATGTTACACAGTTTTGTGTTTCTATATAATCCAAAGTGATCTTGGGATGAAGGCTGATTTAGAAATTTAATTAATAATAACACCTGGAGGGCCAAGCATTCTCCATCCCTGTTGCAACATAGGTTGGGGGACAGATCCACACTGCTGCAACGACAGAACCTGGTGACGAAGGTTGTGCAAATATAATGTTTGATTGGGAGCAAACCTTGCCCAGTACAATGGGGCTTGCTCCCCACAGTAAATGTAAATGCAATTGTGCTGTTGTAAGGTGACCTCAGCTTATTGTTACAGGGTCATACGCAGGGCCGGGTTTAGGTTTGGCCGTAAGCTACTGAAGGTAATGGGGCCCTTTATATGTCCAGCTGTCCTTTGTCAACAACAAATTGTCGCTGTTTTTTGTTTTGACTATATGCTAAATGGCAATTTATGGACCTAATATGTATCTAAAGCTATTTGCACATAACAAAATCTGTATTTTATCAAAGTAATTGATGAACTGAAATGCAACCAGCCCATGCAGAATGTAAGCACACTATATATATATATATATATATACAGAAATGAGCAAACCAGTGTTATTTTAGGGAGCAGGCTAGCAGACGGGGCCCATTACTTGCATCATAGGAGCCTACACAACACAATACACTGTTGCTGTATGTTGGTTTTATTTTATTTGTTTTTTATCTTATATTTTGGAAATGTGCATCCAGGGTTTGTTTTCTTTAAATTTGGGGGGGGCCCCCAAGAGAGTGGGGCCCTAAGCTATACAGTACAGCTTGTTTAGCTTCTACGTAAATCCGGCACTCATACGGAAACAAACGAGCACCCCTATAAAAACAAAGGCAGTTGGCAGCAGTTGAGCCAATGCCTTGGTCTCGCGCGAGGTCGGGGCGGTTTCCATAGCAACGCAGGCCGAAGCAGCCGTTGAGCGCGAGCTCTCCTACAGGCTGCAGAGCGGCGGCGCCGTGAGCGGAGCGCGAGAGCAGAGCGGGCGCCTCGCCGTGAGCGCCTCCGACTCAAGTTCGCTCCGCAGGAAGTGCTTGCGAGCGCGCTCCCTTTCTTTTCCCCGGAAGAAATTCCCGGTGCTCCTCGTGCGCAGGCCGGATCGGATGCTTGCTGCCGTTGCGGCTGAGGGGAGAGGAGCGGGAAACGGGCCCGGCCGTTGCCTTACCTGAGAGAAGACCTTGAAATACGGTCTGTGTCTGACCTTTCGAGCGGCCCCCGTTCTCCCTCTCCGCGGCGCCTGGACCGCCAGGGCGACGCAAAACGGGCTCGGAAGGACAGGCGCTTCCCTCCCTGCCCCCTCCTTCCTTGTAAGACACGAGAAACTTTTCTTTTTTGCTATTCCATTCGAACTTCGGTACTATTTCAGTAGTTAACTTTTCCGGGTTTGTGGGTGTCACTCTTGGGAAGTTGTGGATATTTCAGTTTTATCGTCGTCGTTCTAAAAAATAAGGTAGCATCATTTCTATCACACACACACACACACACACACACACACACACACAGGTTTGAAAGGAATTCTCCGTGTGTCTCATCTCAAGTTAAACGTACTTTGGCATTACCTCGGGCCAGGATATTTTATATGCCACGATTCATCCACATTTAAGCATTTTAAACCCATTTATTCAAATAGGAACAGACTTAACAATATGCTTACCTTCATTATGAGAAAATCAGTGCTTAGCTTGGATCATTTTTTTTTAGGTATACTCTTCTGCAAGACTCAGTGGTTCATGTACTGTATATAGTATTAATTTTATTAATGTTTGATTTGTTTTTAATGATTTTAAAATGTTTTTAGTGATTCTTGTTTTTACAGTATCTGTAACCAGCCTTGAGTCCCGTCAGGGTAAACCGTGGGGTATAAATAAATATGTAATGATAATTCATTGTGTTACTTGTTTTTGCTGTTATACTGTGACTAGTAGCTGTAACTGCTTTTAAGTCCCATTAGTATTAGTGAAAGGCTTAAACATATTTTTAAACATTTTATGTGCACACATGAATAGAAGAAGTTCCACTATGTCTAGTGGGACTCACAAAGTTCTAAAGTTTCTCCCAGCCAGAATAGAATGTGGCAGCAGGTTTTTTTTATTTATTTAAACCATTTATAGACTTTCTTCTGTTATAAAAACAACAGGGTGGTTTGCAAAATAAAGCCAAGGCAATAACATTTATAAACAGATTTCCAAAGTTCAAGTGTACTGGTACTAGGGATCATTGCCCAGGGATGCTGGCATGAAGTTTTTAGCAGCTGGTGCAACACCTGCACCATAGATGCCTGGCACATCTCTAAAAGTTGGTAGTTACACAGTGTGGAGCCAACCACAGAGAAAGTTCTCCTTTCATTCACCATATGGTGTACTTCCACTGGACATATTACAGCTAGAAGAGCTTCTGATGATAACTTTAGTGAGTGAGCTGGGCAGTATGGAAGGAAGGAGTTCAAAGGTAATCTAGCTAGCACCAAGCTGTGCAAGACCTTGTAAGTCTATGGGAAAACTTTTGAAGTATTTGGTTGTGTTTTTAGTTGTGCCTGCTCCACACTGGGGCAGCAGTGGACCTGGACTGGGTCCCTCTTTGGGGCTTAACTGGCTTAGGATTCAGTAGGGCCTTCGCCAGCCTAGGTTCATCCTAGTAGGGCCCCAATTCAATTACTTTTGCATATTAATTCCATTTATTTGGGTGTGTAACTCAGTGTATATTTCCGCCATGTTGAATGCTACCTCCTCTTAAGTGACTGTACCTAGGAGTGCTGAGTTTGGCTGTAATTTGGCATGAAGCAATATGAAATAGAAAGCTGTTGCTAAATAAAGATTGCTAGTATCCAATATATGTTTTATTGGGCTATCTATTTATCAGGTTTCACAGAGGTTTATTTTTTGTGCAAGTATCTGAATAAGCAGATAAGTGGGAATAATTAAAATAGAAGTGAAACACAATCCTGTGTTTATAGAGTGCTATTGTCAGAGGAGCCTTATCCTTGTATTAATTTGCAAAGCCCTGAACTACTTGGGTCTAGGATACCTCAGGAATCGCCTGAACCCTTCTATCCTAGCTCGATCACTGAGATAATCTGCAGGAGCATTGTTTCTCATTCCTCGAGTTGGCGAGGCTCACTTTATAACAACATGAAATAGAACCTGTCGTGTCATTGTCCCAGTATTGTGGAATGCCCTGCCAATAGACATTCAGCAGATGCTTGCTGTTTTAACTTTTGAATGCCTGCTGAAAACATCTTTATTCTGCCAGGCCTATGCAAGAAATTAAGAATACACTTTTATACAATGGTTAATTTATACCTGTTACTAACTTTTTAATACAGGCAACTTCCCATTTATGCACATTCAATATGTGTGTGACAGCACTAACAAGCATCAGCCCAAACCCAGAAGTGACCTGAAAATGTCACAAAATAGGGCAGAGGTGGAATGGGTGTTTGCAGGCTTTTTCAGTGGTGTACCTCAGAACGTAACCCCCACATAAATGGGGGGGGGTTGCCTGTATGCTTTTACTGGATGGTTTTATGTATTTTTGTTGTAAACTGCTTTAATCCTTTTAATGAAATAGTGGTCTATAAATATTTTAAAAATAAATAAAAATAAATTATCTTGAGATTATGACAAGTATCTACTTGCTTGAAATTTAGGCAGCAATCCTGTGAATGCAAATTACTTCCAAATTAGTCCATCGAATTCAATGGGATCAGATGGCTCTACTTAAAAAGATGTGCTGTTTGTTACAAAAACACCTTTTAAATCATAATACGCCTATAAATAGGGAAGAAGTAATGGCTTTGGAATCTGTACTGTTTACTGTTTCAAATACCTCAACATGTGAATTACTTGAATTACATTTGCTGATTTGCTTAAAGACTTATTGTCCTTTACAGAAGTTCTTCTAAAACATAAGCCTCTGTGCAGGCCATATATGCTACCAGAATGTCTGGAGTTGAAGATGCTGCTGCTGTGCTATCTGAAGTGAACATTGGTGATTCATGCAAGCCGTTAGATGAGCACAGAGAAGCCAATCCTGATGCAACCCCTAAAGATATTGTGGTCACTATTGGAGCTACTGTGCCAACTGGCTTTGAGCTAACTGCAGCGGATGAAGTACAAGAGAAGCTAGCATCAAAGTCTACAATTAGCAAGGACCGAGGGAAAATCTATTTTGAAATTCCCGTAACCAGCCTTCCAAAGGTTTGCAGATTTTATTATTTGAATAATATATCCTGTTAACTATTTGATTGATTGAGGGTGTTGTACTCCTTGCAGTTATTGATATATACATTTCCTTCATTGTAGTAAACTGTAGAAGTGCAAACTTTTTTTGTTTTATGCCTTTGTGGAGCAAGGAAACTTTCCTTGTATTTACATGATAACCAGTAAAAATTATTTGGGGGAAAAATAAAACTGAGGGGAGCGGAAACAGCCAAATACCAGTGCAACCACCACTGTATGTTTCGTTTTCCTGGAATGGGGAGGGGATGCAGCATGTTTCTGTGTGATCACTGACATGCACAATGACCCAGAATGCAACCCCAGAGAAAAAAGGGAGTTGTCTGTATTTTATTTTGAAATAATGGTACTTTTATGCCAATCCTTACACATCTACATTCTGTCCTATGAGGCTTACTCCCAAGTAAGTAGATACAGGACTGTAGCATTTAATACCATATCACACTTAATTCTGAAGAGTGGTGCATGTGCATTATTTATGCATTTCTGCAAATAGAAGCTACAAAAATGAAACAAAAAAATTGTATTTAAAGTTTACAGTGATATAACACAAAATGTCCTCAAGACATGAAATGCCCTCAGACACAACACATGTTTTGTTTTACATTTTTTAAGATAAAGACAGCCACTACAAATGGTTGGTCTACTACAGAACTCAAGTACAAGTGACAAATATCAGAAAAGGAGAATACAGCATTAAAAAAGATTGTCTCTAATTTCATTTAGGTTCATCAGTTAAGGTCCGTGGACAACTTATTTGTTGTTGTTAAAGAATTCAAAGATTATCAATTCAAGGAAACGAAGGTAGGTTGTTTCTTTCTCTCTTGCTCCCCACCTTGTATGTATCAGTATGTAAAGAGGTAGCCTAGTTAGTCTCTTGCAGCAAAAAATTGTTCGTCGTTGTTTTTATTTTTGTGTATATGTACCCACCACTTTTGCTGCCTCTTTGACACATCTGATGACATTGATATCCTATGAAAGTATTCTAAAGAACTGCAGAACATTATTTTCCTTCTGAACACACATCTGTGCCACATGTGGGAGTGCTTTTTAAATACGGGATAATTTCAGTAGTTGTCTAATTTCAGTAGTTGTCTATGTGATATGAAGGTGTGGTGAATGGGGTTGAAAGCTTAATGACATACACGAACCATTTCACATACCTAAACTTCCACCATGGTAGGCCCAATCTCTAATGTGCCGTATCCGCAGCAGGGCAGCAGCTGCTCCAGATAAACTCAGCTACTCTTCTGAAATTTAGCAAACATAGAAAATAATAGGTTGTATTAAATGACTCTTATGGATACTTTCTCCCGATACGTTTTAGGAAGAAGCTCTAAAGGATTTAGAAGACTTGGTTAAGAAACTGCCATGGACGGACCCTTTGGATGTGTGGAGGTTAAATACAAGCCTTAAGAAAAGAAAAACAAGGCGGAAAAAGGGCAGTCAAACCAATGCAAAGAAAGAGAAACAAGAGGATGATGGGAGCAGGGAGCAAGCTGTTGATAAAAAAATGCACGAACCTGTGGAAAACGTTTTTGAGGATACTGATGTCCAAGACCCAGAAAATACAGATGAAATTGTGCAACCAGGTGATGATGAACTGTCTGATTCTAAAGAAGAATTGACATCCAATGGCGAAAGCAAAAATGGATCAGGTGACTGCAAGAAGTGTGAAATGAAAGCTGAGACACTGAAGTTCCGGGTAACATGCAACAGAGCTGGTGATAACCACAGCTTCAAATCAAATGAGGCGGCGAGAGATTTTGGAGGAGCAGTGCAAGATTTCTTTCAGTGGAAAGCAGACATGACAAATTTTGATGTGGAGGTGCGGCATACTTTTCTCCCCCCCCCCCATTAAAATATTATTACTATTACTGCATTAATAGTAAGGGTGGGATAAAATATGACAGAATTTACATGTTTTAGCAATAAGCAGTAGTCTGCTTCTGACATTACGATGAAGTTCATGTGATCAAAGTTTTTGCTTATGTGTGCTATTAACTGCAATTTTAACATTATGCCCTAACCCTAAAGTGGGGTTATCTTAACAATGGCTTATTTGGAACAAGCTAGCTTCAAAATCATTATAATTAAGATTAGCCAGGGCCTATTGTATTTGGACTAAAAGACAAGCTACAGTTAACAAAAAACAACAACAGATCTTGCAGCTGTGTCAAATGAAGAAAGGAGAGTGGGAGAGCATTGAAGCCCAAGGCTCGCTGTGTTCTGTTCCCATCATGGAAAACCATAGCTTTTCTTTATCTTGATGTCTGAACCAGCTCAAACTCAAATGGAGATGGCTATGTTAGTATTAATTTATGTTGAGATTTCATACTGGGACCACTGGTCACATATACTGGCCAGTCTAAAATTACATCTTTTACATTAGATATAACGTAGCCTTCCCAGTTCAAGAGATTTAGGGTTGGAATGACTGACGATCAAGTGCTGACTAATGGTCTCAAGTTTGCCCAACTGCAAGATACCTCATTCTATGTTACAAGGAAACATAGTGGAGGTTGGATATAGTGTTTCCTATCTCACTTCCTTGTAATCTGCAAAAGTGGGGTAGGAAGGATAAATGTTCTAAGAATTAGTCGGATTGCTGTATATTTTAGTGGTTGGCATATGTTTTCCTAGTTCCCCCCCCCCCACCTCAGACCCCACTTCACATAGCAAAAATACACCAGTGGATGGTCATTGCTTTCTTTGCAAGTGCCAACTTGAATAAAATATTGTACCCCGCATAATCAATCATGTGACACAGTGCACACACACCATTTGAATGGCAATGCCTATCAACTTCGTGGGGGCCCAGCCCCCTCAAATATTTTATTGTGGGGGCCAAAGCCCCCACAGCTCCTAGAAGTTGGCTCCTATGACCTTAGGATTTCTAATTCATAGAATTCCTAGCCTGGGATGTTTCAGCTGTTTACCTGTTTCAGCTATCCTATCATAGCTGTTGGAAGGGACAGGTAGCGAAGGATGAACTAGATCCTGGGAGACTAAACAGATTATGTGGGTCAGATTGTTCATCTCCCAAGTATAGGAGGACTATGGAAGATAGCGCTTTAAAGGATAGAATTTTGGAAAATCCTACATTAGCACTTCAGTGAAGTAGTCTTTTCTGTTTTTCGTGTATATATCATTGTTTACCTACAGTGAAGGGGAATGTCTGTGCTAAATGTAAGGGACTTTTACTCTAGGTTCTCCTCAACATCCACAATAATGAAGTGGTAGTGGGGATTGCCTTAACAGAAGAGAGTCTTCATAGAAGAAATATTACCCATTTTGGACCCACAACTCTTCGATCTACTCTAGCTTATGGTATGCTCAGGTAAGGAAACTGGAACAGTTGCAAGATCTCTTAAACCATATGTTCTCTGTTCAAACTTGTTGTGTAGCTGCATGTTCTTCATATTCTGCTACTTTTAAACATTAAACAGAGGGCCGCCTCAATGTACCTTACATTAGTGGGCAATTAAGTATTGTGGTCAGTTCCTGAGTGTGGAACTCCTTTCCTTTAGAAGTAATCCTCCTCAAATGAAATACTGTTCCCCTTTTTATAAAAAAAAAATATTTTAATGTTTAAGTGTATTATTATTTTTCTATTACGTCCTACAGCCTATAGGGACCATATTTATGAATTATTAGTTACAGTATGCTTGGGATTTTTAAGATCAGACATGTATTTGGCAGTGTCTTTTGTGTGATTCACTATTTTACACTTTGCCCTTGATTTCTGCCCAGAAATTCAAAAGAGGAACTTGGATGTATTTTTCAAAGAAACAGCATTGTTTTCTTTTTTTATGTGTGTTATAATACTTTTATATTTTGCCTTTGTCTTTATTATACAAACTTTGGTCCTAATTTTGTTTAGGCTTTGTGATCTTCAGCCAGCGGACATCATAATTGATCCAATGTGTGGTACAGGTGCTATACCAATAGAGGTACTGTAGCTTTTTATCTTTTCAGTTTTAAAGTAAAGCATAAAATACCTTACCCAGCTTGGGTTGTAACCCTATACCCACTTATCAGGAAGTAAGTACCATTAAATGCAGTGGTACTAGGTTCTTCTTAGACATACATAGGATTGCACCATGTCTACTGACAATCTGGGGCAAAGCAGTCTGATGGGCAGGGTGCAAATAATAAAATTACTATTATTATTTATTAGTAGTGATATCTTCAGATTTGATAGTAAGCTACGAAACAGCCTAATCCCTTGAAGTCCCAGAAATGTCCTGGCATGTTGATGTATTATTGCAACACATTGTACAGTTGAGGCTCAGGTATCAAACGTGATCCATGCGGGAGGCATGTTCGCAACCTGCAGTGCCGCGTCTGCACATGCATGGGTTGCAATTTGGTCTTATGCGCAAAGCGCGATTGCCAAAGCCCGGAAGTAACCCGTTCTGGTACTTCCGGGTTTTGGTGCGCCCATAACCCAAAAACATGCAACCTGAAGTGTCTGTAACCCAAGGTATGACAGTGTAGGATTTGGTGTACTGGAACGTAAGGGTGACAGCAGTCTTAAACATCTCTACATGGAAATCAGACTGGGTTCAAAGGGATTTACTCCCTTGTTTGATTAGGATTGTAGACTTCAATTCCTTATGCTGTGTTGTGTAAACAAGATGACCAAATAAGTTTCGCATCCCCAGGATAGCATGATGTATAAACCATTTCTACTTCAACAACTATGATTAAGTATAAGTGCTTGGTCATCTTTAAAGTAGTCTTGGAAATCTTTGTAGCACCCCTAGGAGATAGGCCAGTATTACTGCAGTGCTGGTCCTGTATAAGATCCCACAGCTCAATTTGGGAGGTATTTTCAGCAGGTGTCAGATACAGAATTTTCTCTCTACCTGTTGCAACTCTCTGGCTTAAAGGTGTAAAGGACTTTCCAGAATCTAAGCAAGGTGAAAGAACAATTTGCTCTCCTCTGAGCTGGGATCACAGTGTGGAAACCTCATCTTGGTTAGCTTGGGCTTTTGTCTAACAATCCTCCCTCCCACAAAGGGAATAGTGTCTTAGCTGCTATGCAGAGACATAGGGTAAAAATTCCAGTCTAAAGTCATTTTAGGTGGGTGGATTGCTCATCTGCTTTCTGTTTGTTTGACCCTTGGGATTTCCTTGGCACTACAGCAGAGAAATCCCCACCCCCTTACTTGGGGTGGTGGACTAAGGATCAGTTCCCCTTCTGATAATTTGTGCCATATAATGCATTCATAGATGTTATCTCCTAGAATTAGATTTCAGTTGGGTTCTTGCATTGCTGCTAAGTTTGCTGTTTCTTTCTCATTGATAGGGGGCTACTGAATGGCCTAACTGCTACCATATGGCTGGGGATAACAATCCACAGGCTGTGAAGAGAACAGCAAATAATATCGCCTCTTTACTGAAGCAAATTCAAAGTAAAGAAAGGTGGGAATTAAGTACCCAGTGGTGGTTTATGCCATATATTTGTTTTGCCGTTTGTTCCAGTAACTTTTTCATAGTCACTTAGATATTTTTTTAAAAAATTTCCCAGTTCATTAACTTGGGCTTGTTGGTATGGTATGAAAAATTTCTTCCAAGTAATAACTCCTTAACTTATCTAGTTTTTTGTTCTTAACAGCACACCTGCAGGCAAACCTATAGATAGTATTCAGTGGGATATCTGTAGTCTACCTCTGAGGACTGGCTCTGTGGATGTCATTGTAACAGATATGCCATTTGGAAAGAGGTAAATGATGGGTGTTTTACAGCTGTGCTTCTGATCCAGAGCCTTACAGGTACAATGAAGCTTCCAAACTAGGAAGGAATTGCTGGATTTGAGTGTAGAGAACTGCATTGTAGAGTTACCAAGTTGAAAACGATCGCATTTCTATAGGTCTCCATCTCTGCTCAGCTGATGGTCAACATATCTTTGGGTCTTGATCTTTATTCCTTTTTCTTTCTTTTTACAATTTTTTATTAGCTCCAATAAAGTAAATGCATAAATATTTGGACAAACAGTCATAATATTGCAACAGGCTGAAAGCAGCATAACGTTGAACATTATCATTAAGCTTATTATTCCAAAATATTATGAAGAAAACCCACAATTTTTCTATGAACAGATTAGGCTGGTTCATATGTATTCTTTTATAATAAGTTAATGTAATCATTGTTACTATAGACCAGATTTTTTTTCAAACCATGCACATAAAGTAGGAGATAAACATTTTTCCAGATTTTGGCTATAACATTCACAGCAGTTACAAGGTTGAATAATATTTCTCAGCCATTTTCCTGGACAACATCATGCAGATACCCAAGTGACATATTTTAACTTCTAAAGGTATGTGATATCCCAACATACCAGAAATGTACCCTGTACAAATTTCAAAAAAGTTTGTATTTGAGAGCAGTTTCAAAAGGTGTGTACAGTAGTACCTTGGTTTTCTAACATCTCCGTTGACAAACATTTCAGTTTTCGCCGTAAGTCCGGAAGTAAATAAATCGGTTTCCGAATACGCCTCGGAGGCCTTGCTGTCGGCTATTGAGTTTTCGGTTTTCGAACGTTTCAGAACTCAAACTGTCTTCTGGAACAGATTATGTTAGAAAACCGAGGTACCAATGTGTATATATACCTTGCTTTGCTCGATCCGCATCACCAGTGTTTATCTGATACCCACTTATATATGAAGTTTCTTTTGTGGGGTGTTAAATAGCACTGATGGGATGCGGGTGGTGCTGTGGGTTAAACCACAGAGCCTAGGACTTGCCGATCGGAAGGTCGGCGGTTCGAATCCCCGCGACGGGGTGAGCTCCCGTTGCTCGGTCCCAGCTCCTGCCAACCTAGCAGTTCAAAAGCACGTCAAAGTGCAAGTAGATAAATAGGTACCGCTCCAGCGGGAAGGTAAACGGTGTTTCCGTGCGCTGCTCTGGTTTGCCAGAAGCGGCTTAGTTCTGCTGGCCACATGACCCGGAAGCTGTACGCCGGCTCCCTCGGCCAGTAAAGCGAGATGAGCGCCGCAACCCCGGAGTCGGCCACGACTGTACCTAATGGTCAGGGGTCCCTTTACTTTTACCTTTAAATAGCACTGATAAATGGTCTTAAAATAATTATTTGGATCTGCTGAAATGCAATTCCATTGTTTCCTAGTTATTCTTTGACCTGAATCTTGTTGCCATTTTCTCATGTATGTAACCTCATTCCAATCTAAACCAAAGGTCATAAAAAAATCCATTTGTTCTCTTCCTGGTTTCCCCATATTTATGTACCGCGGAAGAGGTTGCACCTCTAATTTGAAAGTATTGGAACAATATGACTCTCTTTCCTTCCATAACTCCTGTAACCCCCTCAGTGGTCAAAATGACCTGACCCTGTAACATCTTCTTTATACACTAGTGGCCAAAATTGTGGAAACCTTTTGGAGAAAGTGTATTTCCGAGGTTTGATGACTCATAACACCACTTTTTACTTCAGTAATACCATAAAATTATATATCAATGGAAAGATAATTTAATGAAGAATGTAATGCAACAAGGTTTGGTTTGTTCAATTATCTTTATTCTATAAAAAAATATAGCCAAATAACAAAAAAGGAGTGTTTAGAGAGGCAATCAGGTATCTCTTGTAATGAATAATCCTTCACAAAATTTATTGCATTACATTCTTCATTAAATAACTTTCCATTGATAAATAATTTTATGGTATTACTCCAAAAAAAGTGGTGTTATGCGCCATCAGACCTCGGAAATACACTTTCCCAAAAGGTTTCCACAATTTTGGCTACTAGTGTACTTTTTAAACTGGTATTTTGCCATTGCTTTAAATCATTTAAGTACTGCATTCCTATTTCTGGATTTAGAAATTCATTGTAATATTTAATTATTTTATTAATAATACATTCTGCAGTGAAATTGTCTTAGATAGGTTCATAATCTTCTTTAGAAATGCGTGCGGATTTCCAAGACATTGTTGGGCCCATTTCTTCATCGTACATGGCTGATTTTCCAGGATGGTATTTAGTGTTAAAATATCTCCATAATCAATTTCCCTTTTGCACCTTAAGAGGGGAGGAACATTCCCTGCAAATATTCAGTATTTGTTCAGGAAATCCCTTGCTTTGAGATGCTTAAAAATTGCTTATAAGGGAGATAGAGGGTAGGAGCTAACAGATTATTCTACCGTCTACAAATCTTTTTTGAAGTTTTGTTAAATCTGAGATTATCAGGGTTCTACATAACCAACCAGATTCCAAACTGGAGACCTTATTCTTCACTTGTATTCATGCAACCCTCTATGCAATGTTCATTCAATAAGTTATTAAAAGCAAGGCAGTATGAAAGGCTTGGATTCTCTCCCCACTCCACCTCATTAATTTGAAAGGAGTTGCCGTTGATTAAATATATGGATAAACTCACTACTATGGGCAAGAAATACTGGACAATAGACTGTTTGTACTTCTAAGTTTCCTTTCTGTTGCTTCTCAATTTCACTCTAGGATAGGGTCTAAGAAAAAGAACTGGGATCTCTACCCATCCTGCCTTATGGAGATGGGCCGGATCTGCAGACCAAGGACTGGCAGAGCTGTGCTGCTGACTCAAGATAGGAAATGTTTTGCCAAGGTAGGTAGTGGCTAGCTAACCCCCAGGCATTTGTTAACAGTGCCTTTTGCTCTTCACTGCTGAAGGCAGGACAATGGTATTGCTGTTATCTAGGATAAATACTGCCAGAACTGAAAATCAAATATTCTTGTTTCAGTATAGAGCAATTTGCTGCCATTTAGAAAAGACTAACACTCTTATAGCATTATCAATTTTCATTGTTCAACTGGGTAATATATATTATTCTAGATCCCAAATTGTGCTTTTAAACTAAGGATAAAGGGCTCCCTACCCCTACCCCCCCAAAAAAAAGCCAAGAAGGGGGGTGGACAGAGGGAGAAACTGATTTTCCTGGTACACTATGTGTACTGACTAAAAAAAAGAGAGAGTTTCAGATAGGGGCTGTAGTAAGTGACATAAAGGCGCATTTTCAATAGCAAGTGAAAATGGAAACATATCTGTAACTTTCATATCTGCTTGTCAAGAGAAACTTGCCACTCGTTTGCATTTCAGGCCTTGTCAAAACTGGGACACCTATGGCGAAAGTCTCACACCATCTGGGTGAATGTTGGGGGACTCCATGCTGCTGTGTACCTTTTGAAACGCTCTGCAGAAAAAAATTAAAGAGACAAGATCATACTGGTAACATCTTGCTCAGTTTACTGACCACACATGCACTCTTTCTGAGGGCTATTTGTTTATTGTTTCTCTGTGATTCTGAGTCAACCCATCCTTATGATATTGAATGGAGTAAAAAAAATAGGAGCAAGTGAGCAAGCTTGCTGGCCCAAGGATCAGTTGTGTCATACCTAACTAGAAACTCTTGAAGGAGTTTTCAGGGCTTAAATAGAAAAGTATAGCCAATTTAGTAATGAAACTAGTAACTCTTCAATGTGCCTGTGAACCTGAGTTACTGTTTCAGTTTGGGTGCAAATGTATTTTTCGTATTCATAGAGCAAGTCATCCTGTTTCCTACTACAGGACAGCTAATTTAAGATGAAAATATTTTGCCATTGGAGAAGCACCTCCACGTTGTTTTGTTTAGTTGCCAAAAATAGGCAACTAGTTTGTTGCTTCTGTTCATTATAGGATAAGCTGTATCCCAGAATCCATTTGTTCAGCAACTTCAGAGCTCAATAGTGCTCCCTGTTTTCTCACCTGCTACCTCAATTTATGCCTCAGTTCACTTGTTTACTTTGATCTGCCATGTATATTGCTGAGAATGTGTACTATCAGCCTCAGCATATTTCTGTAGTCATGGTTTTGATTTGGAATAAGACTTGAAAAATGCTGTAATAGCCTTCCCCGTGTCCTACTACTGTTGGTTTTAGACACAGGATAGATTTAGATGAGAATATTTAGTGTGGTTGAATTTAACCTGATAATATAGCTAGTTATGTCATCTCTTAACAAATAATATACTCAAAAGTTCCCTAACAGTAACCTATAATAATGCTTATGCACCATCCAGTGACCAAGGTTTATTACAGCGGTGTTCAAGAGATGTTGCCAGTGGGTTGTGTCCATTGTTTATATGTGTACTGAAACTGATTTGTCAAATTTTGGGAGCCTTTTCCTGTGAGCTTGAAAAGAATAGCTAAAATACTACTCTAAAATATATGTTGAATGCACTGTTCTTCAGTCTAGAAAGCATTTAGGGGGATGAAACATAATATTATACATGCTTGAAATTTTTAATTCAGATTTTGAGCTAAATGTTTAGGAGGGCGAGAGGAATTAATGCTTGTTAGATAAGAGATGAGCTACATGCAGCTGTAAAAGGCTATGAATGAAGTTCTTTCATGAGAAATAAAGCACCAGCACTGTTCCAATTACTGTAAAAAGGTAGCTCTTTGTCATTAGAACACTTTTGCCCTCCCAAGTTGCCATTTCTTTCCTATCTATGGGGGTTACTTTGGTGTTTCTCACTGTTGTTGTAGCATTTGAATTTTGATGTTATAATTTTACCTCTGTGTAATAAAGTTTTTACCAGAGCTATCTGCTTTTTGTTCTGCTGCTCACTTGGGTCACATAAAATGAGGTTAGTAGTTTATTTTCAGGAAACTATATTTAATAATTTCTTAAGCCGCAGATTATCAGTGGAAATCTATCATCTATTCATCCATATTTATGACTAGCTCAAGTGACCCTTGAGTCTAAGGCCCAAGCCTGCAGTATTTTAAACATAATGATATAATTGTTGAAACCTCCAGGAGGTGACTCTTAAAACTTTCAAGTTAAAAATAAATAAAACCCCTGCTTCTCCCCCCCTCCCCCCGAAAAAACTAACTTGAAGTGACTCACAACAATAAATTAATAACACATACATTAAAACCAGTATAAAAAATCTGAAGCATTCATTTTTTAAAGGCAGAATTTAAAACATCTCATTAAAATATATTACTGTCAGTTCTGGTGAGTGTTCAAAATTCCCCAGGCGCATTTTACGACTGGCGCAGGTCCGATTGTGACCACATGGAGAATTCTGGGTACCAGGTTGGTGACTGATATCTACATGCTGGCCCCTCCAGCTTTCTTAAACAGGTAAGCAGAAGAGTTTATTTACTGCATTTATATCCCAACTTTTTCTCCAAAGAGTACATGGTTCACCCCCCTTCTCAGTCAGTCCCTACAACAACCCTGTGAGGTAGGTTAAGAGGCTGTGACTGATCAAGGTCATCCTGTGAGCTTCATGACTAATCGAGGATTTGAACCCTGATCTCACAGGTCGTAGTCCGACGCTATAACCAATATACCACACTAGCTTCCTAGAGTACTTCTGCTATTGGACAGCTATATAAATAAATATGGGGAAAACAAAATGTCACTTAGAGAAGGATCTGAAATATTTTCCTTGGAACTCAGATTTGTTTTATTCTGGACTGTTTTACTTGATGCTTTAATGTGTTATAAACTGCTTTGAGATTTTTTTCTTTATAATGCGGTATAGAAATGAAAAAAACAAAACAAAACCCACTGTTGATAAGGCACCTGGACATCCCATTGTGGCGACCATAACCTATGTTTAAGGTGCCATTTGACAATTAGCTTATATATCTGAGCTTCTAACATTGGTTCTGGTAGACTTCTGTAAGTATAACGGTGACAGCCACAGTGTAACCACTACAGTGGTACCTTGATTTTTGAACAGCTTAGTTCTCAAACTACTTGGAACCCGAACACTTCAAATCCGGAAATGAGTGTTCTGCTTTTCGAACTTTTTTCGGAAGCTGAACATGCCCCGAATTGAGAGCACACTTCGGTTTTGAGCAAGCGGCTTGACCCCAGCAGTGACTGCCGCTACTTCCTTCCCTTTCCTTCCCTTCGCTCCCCTCCCCTCCCCTCTGCTGGGAAGCGCTTCTTTTCGGTGCAAAGTGGAGTTGGGGCGGCTCCTCGGAATGTAGGTGACTCTGGAGTAGGGAGACTTGGAAGTTGGCAACTCGCGCGCAGAGAGATGGGGGGGGGAAGCATGTGGTCAGTGTGGGTGCCGCATTCCCGAGCGGGGAATCAGGGCGGTCGCACAGGCTCCAGCCCACCCAGCTCAGTGTCAGGTGGCTAGGAGCACAACTGAGCAGCCTCTGCCTCCTCTCCACGCTTTGTTGCTGGTGCTGCTGCGTCCCAGTGCTGCCACGCCAAGGACACGCAGGCAGTGCCGCCCCAACCAGCCTGCGGCTGCCGCTTTGTCATGCTGCCCAAAGTGGAGACGGAAGCCCTGGGACTTGCCCGAGCGAATGGGGAGCGTGGGCAGATGCTGGAAAACATGCAGGGCGGAAAGAGAAAGAGAAAGGAAGGGCTGGCTTGGGTGGGGGGAGAGAACTTTTGCCTCACTTTCCTCCCCCCCAAAACCGCCCCCCCCCCACATCCAGTTAGCCACCTACTGCCCCACATGCGCTCCTCATCCCTCCAGTTTGAGTGTTTTTCCTCCCCACCCCCACTTAAACTCCCCCCTCCCGCCTCATCCCTCCAGTGGCAATGGGTAGATGATTGCCAGTTTTTGATACTGGGTAGTAGATTGCAGCCTGGTTTATTGCTTTCATTTTATGGATCAATGGTCTCATTAGATTTCATGTTAAATTGCTGTTTTAGGGGTTGTTTTTAATTACGGATTAATCCATTTTGCATTACTTTCTATAGGAAAGCACGCCTTGGTTTTGGAATGCTTTGGTTTTGGAACAGACTTCCAGAACAGATTAAGTTTGAGAACCAAGGTACCACTCATACACTCTCTCTCTCTTTCTCTCTCTCTCTCTCTCTCTCTCTCTCTCTCTCTCTGTCGGTGGGTGGGTTGTGACCAGCAATTGCTCTGGAAGGTCTCAGGGCAGCAGTATTTCCACTCACACAAATTACTTTAGCCATTGAGGTCCCCAGTCCAGGCACGTTTTCCTTAGGAGGAAATACCATGGAACTGTTGGGATTTATTTCAAAGTAGAAGACAGCCTCCAGATCAGGATTAGAAACAACCATTTCCCCCGCAAATGGTGCCCAAATTGCTTCCTTTGTTTCTTATAGATTGTAGTGTATTTTATTGTAGTACACATTGAATTCCATAAAACGATGCTCATATTAAGGCTGCATGATACCTCCTGCACTCCTGCATCAATTTTGAGCTTTTCCATCATGCCCACTTTTCCTCCACACTGCACCCCACCCTGTTACTGTGCTTCCCCTCCAGTTTACTCTGAGTAACATTTCTGGGTATTCCCAAATCGTTTTCCCCACACAGTGACATTGTAGGTGGTGCTGATAAAGATATACCTGAATGGCAGCTTTATTTCTTTCCCACAAATGGACCAGGGCTCCTGCCTACCAATTACTGCATCCACACAGTTGCAAGGACGTCCAGGAATCAGCATCCCAGAAGCTGCCTGCTTCTTCTTGCGCTGCTTCCCAATCAGCGTCCCTCTCTTTACACACAAGGTGTCTGCTGCAGTGGGCAAGGGCAGCCCTTCCCTGGGCATGCAGCAGCGAGCCATCTTAGCTGTGCTGCCAGGGGGGAGCTGCAGTTTGTTATGGGCTCTGGGAATAGCTCCCATTAGCGGAGTCCTAGGAACTCAGTCATGAGGAGGAACCAAGAAGGTAGGAAGAGCTCAGATTCCAGGTTCTTGAATTGGGGTGGGACCCCCTGCATTGGAAATGGAAAACCGTTGGGTGTTGAGTGTCCCAGGATTGGGGCTGGGAGAACACCCTACAAGTTGAGTGTCAACAGAACAGGAGAAGAACCTTCCTGCATGAGAGCAGAAAGGAGATGCTCTCATTTTGAAGTGGGTGGGCCAAGCTTTCTTTGGGAGCAATGTCAGGGCAGGGGCACTGGGCATCCATTCCCCACGTCTGCCAGGAGGATACCAAGTCCTCCTTCCTTCACAGGGCCACGCTTCAAGAGAATGGTCTCCGTCGCCAGCACCCAATCTGTTGGACAAGAGCGAGACTCCGTCATCCGTGGCATTCCAGTCTTTCCTTTCTGGATTGTACAGCCCTTCCAAGTCGCTGGAGGAATCCATGCTGCTCAGTGCCTTGCATGTCTTCTGGGATGTCACACATGCTGTCTGAATGTGCCAGTCCCTGACAAGAGGAGAAGGGCATCACTGGCATATGTTAAAACTCAATAAAGAAATTGGAGGAACTGGTTGCTTTCGATATGCCAAAGATTAAATAATATATTGTGATCAAGATTGTTAAAAAGAAAAATTAACAAGCAGTTTTCTTGCCTTCTCTGCCTGCTGCTGGGAGCTCTGCTTAAGAAGGCTGAAGCCAGCTGGTTCTCATCAGCAATTTCTCCTTGGAGTCTTTGAAGCTGCAGGTGAAGGCTCCCCATTCTCCCCCTTGAGGCTGCTGTTCAGCAGGTGAAGCTGATTCCTGCCCCATGACACTACCTCCCTCCCCAAGGTGCACCTCCACCTGCCGGATGGGTGCCGCTTTTCAGGGAGCACGACGGTGGAAGTGTTGGACCAACCAGATATTGGGGGAGCATGGACATGCAAGGCATCTTCCCATGAGGATTTTCCATTAAGTCCATGTCCATTAAAAAGGCCGTAGCCCCCCAATTTCTATCATCTTTGGCGATCACACGTAGCCGAGTAAGATTGTCTTCCATGAACACGATCTTAACAGTGAGTCCATAATGGACTGTGGAGGCCAATTCTGGGTCCACACATCCTTCCACAGTGGGGACATAGGTTTCCTGGCAGGAGTCGATCACAGAGAGGGTTTGCCGAATGTGCCTTCATCTTAGCATGTTTCTCCCTTTCGTCCTGATTTCGAGTGTCTTCAAAGTCCATGACACCTTTGGTAAAGGCAGTTCTCCAATTGGATTGCTTGCAGGCCAGCCTTTCCCGACTGTTTATACTACATTTCTTTTAGATTTGCCTTAGAGTTTTTAAACCTATTTCGTTGACCACCAGCATTACATTTTTATGTTGCTTAGGAATACGATAATCAGGTATAGCCCAGGTTTGTAAAGCAGCTTTCCAAGTAATTGGAGGGGGTGGTGTGAGGCATCTGGGCCTCAGCAGTACAAGCCAAGCCCTAACTCCACGGCTCTCTTAAATTGAGGGAATTCTGTTCCCAGGCAGCTGGCAGAGCCCCTCTTGTCACGGAACGGCCACATGCCCTGGGCAATGGCGACTGGACTATTGATCCTAAGCTGAATAGCTGACCTGCCCAGCTTCAGGTCCTCCACCAACTGGCCCCCTTCTAGAACCCACCGCTCTCAACTACCTCCCCCCCAACATTCAAACTCCCTTTCCAAGCCTCCAATCTTCCCTCTCCACCCTCTCTCTTCCACCCTCCCTCACTACTTGACATTCCCTTTGGAATTCTAATACCACCTCAATTATCCTATTACACATTATATATAGAGAGAGAGAGAGAATCTGGAATACAGCTGGGGAAGGCTGGCTGCCCTGCTGTGGAGAACAAGTCCCTCTTGAAAGGACCCTGCTGTATTCTTTCCTAAAGCTACAACAGTCTCCGCCATGTCTCAGTTCTCCAAAGGTGAGAG